GTGCATGTTCCCCACAGTGGCCTTCCACATCCACTCACGTCTTGGCCTCTATACTTTCGGAGGACGCGAACTCACAAAAGCAGTCCCCGGAGTGGTCTGTGGGCTCACTCACCACCACCAGAATGACAAAGAGGATCCCATCCTGACCGTTACCTGGGGCATGGATAATCTCTAGCACAAAGTGGCCTCCACAAAGTGGCTTGAGGTTTCACCCTTACTTACCTGGGAAACACCGCAGTGCAGGGTCTCACCCTCCTCCTCCCATGGGATGATTCGGGCCTTTGAACGGTAGGGAGGGAAGAACGTCTACGTGGATGGTGGGAGCAGCTGGTGATCGCTAAGTGGTGCCGACGCCCTGCAGAGGGATGATGACAAACTGAGGGAGGTTACCACACGGTTAAGGGCCAAGCGTAAGACCTGGAAGGCCTTCCGGGTGGCCTACGAGGAGGCCCTTACCTCTTGCAGAAGAGGAGCAGACACAGCTGAGGGGAGGAGCAGCGTATCAGCATGACTCGACAGCAAGAGACGTCTACATCTTCAACCAGCACAGGCCCTGTTATGTGGCAGTCGGGGCCCGTTTGGAAAAGCCCAGGCCCCTGAACTATGCGACGGGGGCGGCTGCATGGAGCGTGCATCCTTCCTCCCCTAGCGAGAGCCAGCGCGTGCCCTGCGCTGCCAGATGCTACAGAGCCCTCGCCCCTACAGAGCCACGTGCGCCGCCCTCGCGCGCCCGTCTCCTCTCCATCACCTCGCTGGGTGACTCGCGCCTGACGCTAAGGGAGAGAAGAGATTACACACCAGGGAAGCTGCGGGCAAGAGCCGGCCCGTCCTGGCGGGAGCCAGGGGGACTCCCCAAGGGATGCGGTTTGAGGGCACTGGATCAGGGGTGGGGGGCTGGAATGTGAGGCTCGATAAGCCAGTTTCGCCGAGGGGGGTACGTGCTCAGGTCATAGGACTGAACACCCTGGCAAGGACTCCAGGAAAGGGAGGAAATCCACTGCCAGGCTGACCCTTAGAATCCTAGGAAAAGTCGAGGCCCACATGAAGAGAAATGGAAATGCCTGCCTGGGACTGGCAGATGGCAGAGGGAGGAATAAAAAAGGTTGAAAGATGCAGCCACCCTGGAGCGGATGGAAAATGGGAGGCCAGCGAGCCAGCCTGAGGGTTATGTTCCACGGCAGCACCCGGGGGACACACCACTCGCCAAAGCCACGGGGAGTGTTCTGGTGAGAGGGGCCGGAGCACGACTAAGGAGGTCGGTGGTTGCCCTCCTCTGCAGGCCAGTGGGGACGGGGCAAGGGATGTGGTCCCAGGCCTGGGCTCGTTACCGCCATTCATGCGAGGTTGGGGCCCCAACACGGTAGAAGGCAGGGCACGGCTCTTGCCCAACGCACGCCAGGAGACTACGTCTGCAATAACAACCGGCAAAGTCAGTGGGGCAGTCACCAGTGTTTGACTCACAGGAAGCCAGAAAGATCGTTCACGCACACGGCCCTCTAGGTGCAACTACAGCCAGAAAAAGGCAAGACTGGAGGAGCAGGAGGGTGGTCATGCCGGTAACGAGCCACGATCCCTTGCTCATTTCCTGGTCCTGGACAACTTTCAGACCAGCCCCACTGACTGAAGAGGCGGATGAGTCCCGAGGAGGAAGGACCTGGAAACAAGGCGGTGAGGATCTACTGTCACTATACTATGGTCCTTCCCTCAAGAGACAAGACTGCCATCTCCTCTAGGTGACTGTACACTGGGGAAAGGGGGATAGCCAAGATTGCTAGGACTAACGGAAACAGGGCCTGAGATGACACAGATCCTGGTGGTCCAAGGCGTCATGACGGGGCCCTGGCAATAAAAGGAGTTGGGGATAGAGACAGGTTCACAGTGAGTCGACCGGCTCCCAGGACCTACACGGTGGTTCTTCCTCCTGTCCCCACGTCAGCGCTGGTAAGTGACATATTTGGCAATTGGAGCAACGACTCCCAGGCTGGGGCCATGTGGAAGCCCTGAAACCAGCCCCCCCCTCAGGTCAAGAAATTAAGTCAAAACCGGTATCAGATCCTGGTGGAAGTCTGGGGGTGGGCAGAGATTAGTGCCACCACCGAAGATCTACAGGACTCGGGGGAAGAGGAAGTGACAGGGTCGCAGGGATGAAGAGAGTGGAGAAGGGTGAAGACGTTTTAGGATTCTCCGTATGGGAGAAGGAAGGAGCAAGGGAACGCAAACGAGGAGAGGTACACCATGGGCTTCAACTGGGGTGATCAGTAATGTTTCTTAAGACGGCTGGCGGGTACGGGAGATTTTGCCATGCCTTTCGTTATCCTTCATGACACGGCTGAAACAGTGCACCGTGTCTTTAAAAGTCATTGCAGGGAGTGTGAGAAGGAGTTACGCAGACACAGGCAGGGATTGTGGAGGGCCTGCCAGACGTGGACGGTGGCAGATTTCTAGCAGACCCGATCGACCCTGCTCTGTAACCCCCAGCAGAGTAGGCTTCTCAGGTGTCGGCCCAGAGAAACCAGGGACCTGACTTCCCACAGGCAAGAGTTCAGACACCCCAGGCCTCTACTGGAGAGCAGTCAGGGGAGGGTGTACAAGGCAGAGGTAACGGAGAAGACAGGTGAACAAGAGTGGGAAAGCAAGGAAGGAAGGTGTGAAAGGAATGAGTCTGAAGGAGAGGTATGACAGGTGCTGGAGTAGGGTTGGGTGGCAAGCAAAGGAAATTCTAACACTCCAGGGCCTCACAGAAACCAAGGAAGGGACCACTCCCCACATATCAGGACTGCTAAGCGCAGGGAAGCTGGGCACCGGTAGCTCCAGGGGCAATATGACAGAAAATTGGCATGCCGCCACCACCACCACCACCACCGTGAGGCCTTTGTCGTGTGTCCTTTCCAGGCTTGAAAACAAAACAAAACAAAACAAAAAACGTAATTTTTCCTACGCCTGTGTGTACTCCCAAATGACACACAGGATTGGTTTGGGTTCTTCAGTTTGCAAATGTCCATGGAAATCTATGCGTTGTTCTGCAACTTGCTGCATGCGGTCATGAGAGTTTTTTGAACTCTGTTAACACAGCCTCGTGCGTTCCTTTGGATTGCTGAGTTTTAACCTACTGGACGCATAGGCCACGTTGCATCCGTCCACTCCCTTACTGATGGGAATTTAGAGCAGTGCCCGATTTTCCCTTCACCAACATCCTTGTGCATGTGTCCTCGTACACCACACCTACCAACCTTTCTCCAGAAGATGTACCCGGCAGGTCTGCCAGGTCACTGAGGGAGTGGGTGTTTTGCAGTTTTAAGAGTCTCGGCTCAAAGCACGGACTATGGGGCCTGACCGCCTGGTTTCCATCCTGCCGCTGACACCGAATGACCTTGAGTAAGTCGCTGAACCCCTCTCTGTGCCTGTTTCCTTGCCTGCACGAAGGTGGTAATAGTAGGTGCTTTGACCTAGGATTGTCATGAGGATGAGTTAATATTTATCTACAGCGCTTAGAAGAGAGCCAGGCACATAGTAAATGTTGTATAATTTGCATTTCACAGATTCGGCCAAATTACCCTCCCAAATGGCTGTTCTCCCTCTTCCCCCCTGCCCCAGCAGTGAGCAAAAGCACTGGTTTGCTCATAACCTCTCCCGCCCTTGGAATGGCTAAGCTCTTTGTCGCAAACCTGGTATGTGAAAATTGATCTGTGGCTTTAGTTTGCACCTTCAGGATCAGTGATGGTGAGCATCTTTTGGGGGGGGTCGTTGACCCTTGGGATTCCTGCTTCCTTGAATAAACTCAGAGTGAGGGGGTGGGGCCTGGGAGGGGTGGGAAAGCTCTGGCCTGCCAACCTGCCAAGCCAATAAAGTGTCATGGGCACACAGCGACGTGCCCATTTGATTACCTACTGTAAGCAAAAGAAGTGGAAGGCACCCAAATCAGAAAGTGAGAAGTTCAGTGACCTCTGCTTGCAGATGACATGAACTCACCTATAGAAAACCCCAGACACTGCAGCAAAACGCTGTTAGAACTAATAAAGAAATTCAGGAAAGTTGCAGGAGAGAAAAGCAACATACAAAAATCACTTGCATTTCTATACACTAACAACAAACTGTTCACGTTTACCACAGCATGGCAAGAAAAAAACACTTAGGCATAAATTTATCCAAGGAGGTGGAAGCTCTGCACACCAAAACTATAAAACGCTGATGAGAGAAAAGACACGAATAAATGGGAAGATAACCCGTGCTCATTCAAGGATTGGAAGATCACTAAAATGTTCACGCTACCCAAAGCGATACACAGATTCAACGCAAGCCCCATCAAAACAGCAAGGGAATTTTTCGTATTTTTCACACACGTAGAAAAGACAACCCTAAAACCTCTGATTACTGACTGTGGGCTTTCTTACCCATCTTCCTATCAGGTGGCAAGCGTTCTGGAATTGAGCCTTGCAAATCCTCCCTGAGCTGGGGGCTTCCCGCCCATCATTCACCCTCACGAGCCCCTGAGCTACGTGCTGTTATTTAGCCCACTTTCCACATGGCAAACTGAGGCTGAGAGACGTGGCTCTCAGTGGAAAACAGATGCCCAGCAGAGGGACAGCAAGAAAGAGGAAAACGAGAGCCCGAGGCCAGGACCCTGCAGCCCAACGGGCTTCCAAGGAGCCAAACGACTGGCTTCGGGGCAAACCAACCGCCCTCGTCCCTATTGGTTGGGGCCCGAGAGATGGCCAAACAAGGGCTGCGCTGGTTAGTGGGGGCTGGGGGAAGCGAACCAATGAGAAGTCAGCGGCGTCAGGAAGGCGGCCGTTGAGCACGCGCAGAAGCGAACCAATGAGAAGGCCGCGGCGAGGGCATCCAGGGTCTCGGAAGCCATTGTTGTTGGCGGCCAGGTCTTGCAGTCCCTGAGGTAACCGCGCCCCTTAGGCCGCGCTGCTCCAGAGGCTGGCGTGCGTCGGCTCTCCTGCCGTGACAAGGGCTACCATCTGGCCACAACGCGGGCAGATCGAACCGGCGACATGAGTTCCCCGGATAAGGTGTCTGTTTCCGAGTCCGATTTCGGCCTGGAGGGCGGGGAGCGGGCCAGCGTCCGCCCGGCCGGCCGCAGAGCCCCACGGGGCCCCGGCCTAGGCCTGGATCTGGGGACGCCGAGGAGCGGCGAGGGCGTGGGCGCGCTGGCAGACCCCGAGGGCTTCGAGGCTGAGCAGGAATTGATAGAGGAGGGAAGGACCGTGCTTTGGGGCCGGGAAGGCCGGCCCGGCACCCCGACTGACGAGATGGGAAATGATCCGGACTACGAGTCCCTCCTGGCTGACGACTGTGCGGCCATCGTGCAGCCTCTGAGCCACTGGGCTATCCGGGGCGTCCGCAGACACCCGTGCTCAGAGGGCCGTGACACCCAAGTGTCCACCGTTTGGCCGCACCCAGGGGCCGGTCTCAGCGGTAGCGGCGCGATGGCCACCTCTGCCGCCCCTGCCCGCCCCATCGGGCCCCGGAAAGTCCGGGCCCCCGGGATCCCAAAAAGAGGCGCTAAAAGCAAACTGAGAGTCGGCAGAAGGATTGTCCATCGGCCCTACAAGGAAGGCCTGGTCCAGCCGCCTTCCGACCCCGAGCCAACAGATGAGTTCAGTGAGGTGCCGATGAGGGTGAGCATTCACCCCAAAGCAGGAGTCCAAGGGGAGCCCAGCAGCGCCGAGGATCCTGGGGACACACCCAGACACTCGAGTTTGCTTGTCAGGGAGGATATCCTCTGCAAACCAGGCTCTTTCTTGTCCTCTCCTCCTCGAGGACTCACTTCAGGCATGGAAAGGCAGGTCAGCGGACAGCTGGACAGCTCTTCCTCTGAGAAAATGCAGAGTGTGGTGTGGGGGAAGGCAGGGAGCAGGCCCAGCTTCCCAGGAGCTGCTGCTGCTGCTGTGGGCAGCCTGCCCCGGGCTGTTCCTAGGAAGAAGGAGGCCCAGGGGAACAAGTGCCTAGGGGATGCCTCGAACTTGGCCCTGGGGAGAGCCTTTCCTCCATGGGGGCAGAGACTCTCTGCAGTTCCCCTGGAACCAGCCACTTTGCCGCCAATCACTGGTGTTCCGCTGCTCGGGAGGTCCAAGAGGTACTCCTTGCTCTCATCGGGACCCAAAGACTCCAAGCACAGCAGCACTGGGAAGAAATGTGGGGTGAGGAAGGCAAAGGATTCCAAGCCTGTGGCCCGAGATGATAATGACCCAAATAGAGATCTGGACCCAAAGGCACAAGTGAGTAGTCCATCCTCTTCCTCTTTCCTCGTACTTCCACTCCCCGGCATAGGCATCCTTAATCTGTCCTTCGTTCAGGGGCTGTCCTTGAGAGTCCACTGTCATTAGGATGCCGAATTGGGGTCATCAAAATAAGTGAATACCTTAAGTACTTAAATACGCCCCAGGCACCGTTCTTGACACTTTGCATGTTTCCTGCCTCCTTCCCAGATGGGGCTAGGCTGGATCGGATGACCCTTTAAAGCTTGGGCTGCAAAGCTTGGGTGTCTAGACTCATCAGTCTCCTGACTCCTCCTTCCTAGCAGTTCCCCAAGCCTGCCTGGCAGGGGGCCTGCACTGTCTCAGCATCCCCCCAGTTTTCCCTGGCTCAGCGCTGCCTGCCGGCCTGGGGCTGACTGAGGGAGAAAGTGCTAATGAGATTATAGCCTCCAAATTCCCCCCTTACTGCCCATCTCACCCCAGCCCCAGCGCATACATGCTCACACTCACACGCCCTGACCCAGCTCTGAGAGATTTTCTTTTAGCTTCAGACGCCCAGGCCAGGGCCACCTTGCCAGCACATGCATCCTGGAGAATTCAGCAGTGGTGACCAGAACACGAGGGCCCCGCAGGTTCCAAGAAACTCACAGGCCTCGGCCTTGCGCCAAGGAGGCGCCACGACCAGAGGCCCTGCACCCTCCAGTGAGTCTTGTGGCTTTGGTAGGAGTGGAGGGCACGGGCGGAGGAGGGGAACCTCTGACTCTGTCACTTCTGGGGGCTCAGCCTTGCTCCCCGGCTTCCCTGCCTACCCAGGCAGCTCTCCCACAGAAAACGGGGTGTCGACAGGGCTGGGGTGGGATTTGTGGGGTAGGCGTGATTTGTAGCCACACCCCAAACTCTGACTCCAGAAGTAGCCTCTCGGCAGAGCAGAGCCTTTTAAGTTAAGTCCTGTTCGACCCCATTGCTCCTCCCAGGGGCTGGCTGTGGCTGCAGCTGTGCTAGCGTCCAACCCAGGGCCACAATCCTAGGGGGCCACAGGCACAGATGGGCTGACACTGGGGAACAGGAGCAGGGAAGGCAGGCCCAGAGAGAAGGTTGCAGCTGCGGGGCCGAGCAGGAGACACCTGCTGCCAGCAGAGGGTGATGCTGCCTCCCTTTAGACCCCAGCAGGCCCTTTCCAGCTCCAGGCTGTGAGGCTTGGAAGCTGGATTCTGTGTTGTCTTTCAGGTGACCAGGAGCCACCTGTCCATGCCC